ATTATTTTAGGCGAGGTTGATGCAGGTATGCCAAGATGGGAAGACCTGAACCAGGCAGAAATGCAACAGCTAGTTGAAGAAGTTCAGGAAGTTGCAGAACATGTCAACACTATGAACGTTAGTCTGGAAAAAGCTGTGAGGCACCTTAGAAATGCCGCTGACTATCTTGACCAGGTGTGGAAGGATTGCAAGATAGCGTCTGCTGTTGGAAGTAGTGCTGGGATCACAGGCGGTGTTCTGACAGTCCTTGGAGGTGTCGCTACAGTTATGACAGCTGGAGCCGCTACACCTTTGTTAATAGCAGGCACGGCATTTGGGGTGGCCGGAGCTTGCACTAACCTAGGAACTACTGCCGTGGAAGCCTCTATTAACTCAGCTATCATCCAGGAGGCAGACGGTGCCGTAGAAGGCGCAAATCGCGCAATACAGGAAGTAAGGCAACGAATCAATAAGATGAAGACCGGGAAAAGCCAAGTGCGTTTGCTGTTTCTTGCTGGCCTTGCTACCAGAATGCTAGGTAAAAACCACTTAGCAGTTGCCTTTATCAAAGACCTTCTTAGTACTGATTTACTCTCCAAAGCTCTTCCTGCAGTAACAGATGCAGCACGGGCCGTATCAGCCTTAGCCTCGAAGGCCGGGATAGAAACTGTCAAAACTGTTGCAGGAAGAGGGCTCATTGAAAACGTTCCAAAAGAGGCTGTCTGTGTTGGAGTAAACGTGGGAGCCAAAAAATTCGGTACAGAGCTAGGCACTAAAGTAGGAGCTAAGGCTGTTAAGAAAGTTGGTGCAAAGATGGGAGCCAGAGCCGTCAGAAGGGTCAGTACCAAGGCCGGTGCCAAAGCCGCTGAGAAGATTGGTACAAAGGTCGGTGCGAACGCAACTGGAAAAGCTGCTTCCGAGGTAGTGTCCAAGGCGGCTGGAAATACAGCCACCAAAGAAGGGTCAAAAGCTGTTGGCAAAGCAGGTGTCCAGGGCGGAGCTAAGGCTGCGGGAGGCTTTATCATCGGAGTCAGCACGGCTTTCATCGTCTTAGATGTCATAGATCTGGCATTTACTGTAAGAGATATTGTCAATAACGAAGGTTCTGATGCAGCTCGGGTGCTCAGAGAAAAAGCAAATGAATACGAAGCTATTCTAAGAGATCAGTAACAGTGCTCATTTCTGCCAAAGCCTAACGCTAAGCGAATACTATCGATACAGTGTCGACAAGATCATTTTTTTTCTTTGTTGGCAGAGTAGGAAATTCTAAGTGTATCTTTAAGGCTCTAAATGTGTTAACAAGTTCAGTGAATTAAAGGTTTTCGTTGATCGTTTGTCTTATGATTGTCGCTTAGTTAATGACCGCGACGTTTCGTCCGCGTACTGCAGGTGTTCATCAGACGATAGTGTAGTACTATTTGTACCACCGTGGTCCATGGTTAGTGATTGGTGTATCAGTGATTACTTTACAGGAAAGTATCAGATAGTTATCAACGTGACGTGTGACGACCTGACGGGAAGTGAAAAAATCGAGGGCCTAAGGTTTCGTTAAGAGTCTATTTATAAGCAAATGTATCAGCTAAAATTGCAATGATAAATCATTAAAAAGAGGTCATTATAAAGAATAGTTGACGTGACCCACATTATCGACTCCTTTTCAATCTTTGATTACTAATAAAACATGTCACTCAAAAATTCATCTAAAAAGTATCACTGACAATAGCCATTAATTTTTAACACTGCCGTTGGGGATTAAGACCGAAATCTTTGCCAGCGTCAAGTGCGACGGATTAGTGACGGGTTAGTCCAAAAAGGACGACAAGAATACCCATTTGGCTCGAACAGACTGTATTAGTGGAGACCGGTTTACCCGATCTCTTTTGCTGTTTCTTAACGTGAAAATAAGAGATAAAGATGGCAAATCAAAATCAAACAAAAAAACACAGGGTTGTAAATAAAAAGGTAATTGTGGCATTTACCATCTTTGCCCCAGACTTAATTCTCAGTTTTCACAAAATTGTGACATAATTTGTGCAAATCCATTCTTTCGTCCAATGTAAGCCCAACGGATATATTGTAAAAATATTATTTTATTAGCTTAAAACTTCGGAAAACTCGCACTCCTTTACTTCGCTCACTCGATCGTTTTCCGAAGTTTACAACTCGTGAATGAAGGCCTTACAACCCACTTCTTATAAAATAATGTAAAAGCACTCTTACCCTACATATATACATGGCACGTAATTATAGAAAAGAAAAACCGAGTTCTCCTTGATGCAGGTATGACCATTGGGCGAAACCTGTATCGGGTAGAAAAGAAACTAGTTGAAGATGTCAGGGCAATGACGAGTAGCCTGAAAAATACTGTGGAGCGCCTTCGAAAGCTCGCTGACGATCTTGACGCGGTGTGGAGTGACTGCCAATGAGTGTCTGCCGTTGGAACAGGTGTTGGGATCCTAGGCAGTGTCCTGACAATCGCGGGAGGTGTCGCTACACTCATGACAGGTGGAGCTGCTGCACCTTTACTGGGAGTAGGCACGGCACTTGGGGTAACCGCAGCTTGCACTAACTTAGGAACGAGCGCTGTGGAAGCCAAACTTAACTCAAATATTATCAAGGAGGCGGAACGAGCCGTAGAAGAGGCAAATCGCACAATACAGAAAGTAAAGAATCAGATTAATGAGCTAAGGGAGGTGAAAAGCAAATTTCGTTTGCTATTTTGCGTTTGGCTTGTTACCATAATGGTTCGGTTCATAGAAACCCTTTAATAACACCCTTCCTTAGGCAACTTCTTCCCACTAGTTTATTATCTACAACAGCCTCCAGTGCTATTCATAATGTTGCTAAAGCATCAACCAAGTCCACGGGGGCTTTTATCATCGGAGTCAGTGTGGTGTTTCTTATTGTAGATATTATAGATCTGAATTACAAAGTCAGAGATATCGTAAAGAACAAGGGCTCTGGTGCGGCTCGAGTCTTTAGAGGTAAAGCAAACGAATACGAAGCTATTTTAAAGGATAAGACTATCAATAAAATGATTTTGTATTTTTTTCGGTAGCATGGTGAGTAAATGTGATAACTTGTGTTACGAATTAGTTGCTGTTAGTTTTGTTTTTCAATTTTGATATTTGTCAGGTTTTTCTTACGTTTAGGGTATCCGAGTGATTATTCTGTAGTACGTGCAAGTTTCCTAATAAACAGTTCCTAGTCCAAGGAAACTCAATGTATAGCACAGACACGGTTAGTCCCTGAATTTTTGAGAAGCTTCGTCTATTTGAAGAATTTTTTCACATTAGTTGTAGTTCTTTGAAGTAGGCATGTTCGGGCCGGATAAAAGTTGACCTTAAGTTTTACTTCCAATGAAGTTCCTGTTTTGTATGCTTGGTCCTAGCGAGCAGTTTTACCGCTAGCATTCAATTGGTTCCTGGGTACTTGTCAAAAGAGAGGAGAAGTGGTTACGTCACGTTGCCATGGTGGCAAACTGTTTGGATGACAACAAACCGAAAATTCACTTAAAAAGTAAATTCGCATTGTTTCAAACTTCATCGTTCTTATTCAATTTCATTTAATTTGTCAAATGTTGGCGAAGTTTTCTGGACTGAATTCGAAAGGATTGTGTCTGAGTTTAGAAATAGAAAAAGAAACTTTCTGTGTTGCGTTCACCTACTCCGTGAGGCGGGAGTGTGAAATTAGGAAGTTTCATGCCGCACTAGTCGTGCAGCGATGGCTAAAAAATGCGCAAAAAAGCGTGATGCACATGTAAAGTTGTTGTTTTACTAATATAAACTTATTGCTTTTTTGCCGTTCTCGTTGTCGTCGCTGTCATTGTTGCCTGAGCTCCCTTTTAATGTTGTGATCCAAACATTTTGCTACCATGGTACGTGACGTCACACTTCTCCTTACTATCACGACAGTGTAAGTAAAGCGACACGATATGTGATGTAAAGTTCTCACGGTCAACTAACCCAAACACGTCTGCAATTTGGTTACTTAATTCGCTGGTGATGGGTTTGCTAGTAGTAGAAGCATTGTAGAAGTAGAAGAAGCTGTAGAACGCCACAAGAAGAATAAAAGTCAGAAGTAGAAGAACAGGGTCTTGGTACCTTAGTCGTTAAATGTCCAAGCGAGATATACATCCCCTAACACTTGTTCAGTGATGAGACTGATTACTTGCCTAACTAGATTTCGATAAACTACAGTGCATAAAAGGATTTTTTTTCAGAATTTGTTAAACTTTCTGGGAAATCATTTTGTAAGAAATGTCAAGTGAAAGTGAGACCATAGGGAGTAAATATCAACCAACTTTGGAATCCACTAGAAAGAAATGACAAATTATATTGCTCACTTTTATTAGTTTTTAGAGGTTTCTTTTATTTACTTTATATGGCTAGCGTAAAGAGCAAGAGCGTGCAAAAGGAAATATACCCGCGACTTGATATTACAATCCATACAATGCATTCAACCGAAAGGCATCAAAGGGTCAATAGATTTTGTTGAACGTTTGCTAAAGAAAAAGAAGAATACAAACATAACATAGATGTTATTTTCAAGTCATAAACGCCAATCAGTTGAGAATCTGTGTGACACTGAATTCCGTCTCACCCCCACTCCCTCCCCCCACATCATCCCCCTTAATTGATTCACAAATTTTGATTAAACGTGTAATGGCAATTGACAGAAATCTTTGGGACATTGCAATACGGCAGGTTTTTTCCTTAAAAATTCAATGAAACAAATTTTCAGAGAGGATTCAAGGCTTGCAATTTTAGTTCCTCTTCAACCAGGGTTAATAAATTCTTTGGGGTCAATTAAAAGGGTGTAAAATCAATTTTTCCCATTACCCCTTACACCACAAAAATATCCAAATACAAATTCTCCAGACTGATCTCCATACATATTTCCTTGAAGAATTGGTTAAGAGAATTTGTTTTGTATGTCAAAGCTCTTCCCATCATGTGATTATTTTATTAATTCTCACAACATTTTACCTTGATAATGTATTGATTTTTTTGGGAGAAAATTGACTTTGGTCACACTTGGGACTTAAAGGATTAAATGGCATAGTTAGAGGGACTATTGGCACAAGCTAGGATATGGCTATTTTAGGTCAAATCTGTTCTAAAGTCATTAGATATGCTTTTTCCGGTTGGTGGGCAGTTTCCCAGAAACGTATAATAATCCCCTTTTCCCATATAAAATACTACTGCTGTAGAGTTGATGTTATTGTAAAGAAGATATTAAACAAACATCATCACGGAGGTGATATTTACAGGTTAAAAAAGCAGAAAATAGCATTAAAACTTCAAAAAAGTTAGCCCTTTTTTCCCAGTTATGCATGCACGCTTTTACGAAAACTAGGATCAGCTTGTTGATAAAATATAAGTTAAGTAATTTTTTCCTCCAAAACATTTCACGGCAAACGTTGGGCACTAGTGTTGATCTCATCAGGACAAATGAAACTTTCATCAAACTCCCAGTGTAACATGGCGGCACTGATCACGTCTTGCTATCATTTCCTTGCTTCTATTTATTAGTTTCCTTGAGATTACATCAAAGGCATAACAAGCTACTCCGCGTGATAGACCGTTGAACACCGCTTCGTATTTGTGAACGATTTTCCCAAAATTTCATTCTCGACGATTACTTGACAAGTGAGACATGATTCCATTAATTAATTTTCTGAATTTGGAATAAATTAAATGCTAATGTACGGATTCTAGGAAATTCACTTGATGTATATATTGTCGGAGCTATTTTGAAATCGCTGCCTTCATCTGCGATCTACAGTCTCTGTTGCCACAATTCTATATCGCACTTTCCCAAGAAGTACGCTGAGTGCTCTCACTATGCCTTGGTCACAGTCGCAGCAAACAAGACTGGGCTACGAGAAAGGTTTACTTGAAAACTACTTTCGAAACCGAGTGACATGGATCGATCCACGAGGCGACACAAGAGTGGAGATAAGAGTAACTTGTTCCAGTGATAGACAGTACACGCTAAGGATCTACATCCCAGTCGATTATCCCAACTCCTGCCCACAGATGGTGGTTAGCAATCCGTCCTGCTGCTTGAGAAAGCGCGATGGATCGTTGTTAAATTCAGGAAGCAGTGACGACCATACTTGGGGGAGCAAGGATGGCTGTACTCAAATTTGCCATTACAAGCCAGCGGAGTGGACGGATGACAACACGTTTTACCAAGTCGCCATGAAAGGATTGATTTGGCTGGAGGCATATGAGGCGCATTTGCGCACTGGTCACTCACTCAGTAATTACCTACGACACTATTAGAACGATCGTTCCACTCGAGAGAAGATAGCACGTAAGAAGTTAACGAAAACAGACAGTAAACTTGCAATATGCTTTTAGAGTCCAGAAAGCAGTTTATTGTTAGTTCCTTGCATAATGACCTAAATAATGGCGTGAAGTTCTTTTTCAGTTTTGTTAGTGAATTTTAAGATACCTTTGAGTTTCATGCATAATTAGCTAGCGTAATAAGTTCCTCTTTTTCTTGGAAACGGGACCGAACAGTCAAAATAAACTTACGAACAATACGTTAGATCATGGACTCAAACTCAACACTGTTTAAGGCGCTCTAGTAAATTTTGAAATAAAGATTAATTTGAATGAATATTAGCGTAAGAGAATCGATAAGTGAAAAGGAGAATTGACATTATCTCAGTATTAATGTAGATTCCTTATCCTTCTCATCCCCCTCCCCCACATATCCCGCATCCTCACTTGGTATAGCTTCCTCATGTGACAAACTGGACTGGTCTGGATTGGTTTAACATGAATTAATAAAGCATGAATTGGTAAAATAAAATGAATTAATGAAGCATTAGACCAAAGAGCTGGGCCCAGCGTGACAATAAAGCATGGCATCTGGCAATCATCAAATTCAGGGACCAAACAATTGAATAACATGAAACTATCCAGATCCAGGCATTTCGGAGAAAACCAATTAAAAGTAATCAAAACCTAATTATACTTTAACGGCCATTTAGCCGTAATAAAAAGATCAACGCTTCAAAAGAAGTCAAAGAAATACTAAACTGCTTCAGAGGTCAAATTTAGTCTGAAACAAACACTACAGAAAATCTATTCATAACCTATCAATGAAAGACAAGTTGTAAAACATCTTAGCCCGGCTAGTAACGTTTGTGAAGCAGCACCGACATCCTTGTTCTGGGCCTCCAACAGACTCAACGAATTAACGGGAGCTCGTTTCGAACTTCGGCTTCAACCTGATTATGGCAAGATCAACAATGGCTTTTTTTTTACAGGCCAACCATGGCGCGTACTGAAATCTTTGTACACAGCTGGGTAGCCTGTTCCAGGCGTTGAGATCGTGGGGACAGCGCAAAGAGATGTGAGCAGAAAAAAAGGGAGGGTGGGGTAGGGGTCAGAGGGTCCCTCTCCCACTTTTCCTCTTTATTTTTTTCGCGCTCTCTTCCTTCTTCCTTCTTCTAACAGTAACAGGCTAACAGCTGGGGCCCATGCACTGGGAACAAAGACCATAGACCAGAAACATGGCTCTTTTAAATATCAAGCAGTTTTTTAAAATGATAACTATTCAATTTATAGAAGAAAGAGACGATGATTCTGAGATTAATTTGGGGCAATAAAACGTAACGCGCCGCTGGGTTCATTTTCCCACATCCCTATTAATTGGAAGTCAAGAAAAACTTAGCGGTGGTAACTGATAGTAGCTCGGCTTAACGGAATCATCAAACTGATTTACGTTATTGAATTCGCCACGGTAATAAGGAATGAAACAGGACTTGTGTCCCAATATCAAGCCCTTCATTACCCACCCAGTCCATGAAAGGTTGCACCACACCACAGGGATCTACGCCCCCTACTCTTAACGAACAGCAGTGTGGGTTCTTTAAGTCCCACAAGACTGATCAGAACAGTTAAACGGGGCCTACGGTTTTTCGTCCTTATCCGAGAAGACTAGAATGTCTAACCATTTGTAGATGTCACAACAAAGGCAGCACATTCTCCTTAGTTACTTTAAGACCCTGAGTGTTGGTCCGGCCGGGGTTTGAACCCCCGACATCCAGCTCGGCAGACCGGCGCTTATACAATTGAGCTAACCGGGCAGCCGTTGATTAATTCCAACATCTCCAGAACCAGACAACGAACTGCTCGAGGACAGAGGAACGTCGTCGTTGTGAAGAGATCAAGACAAGAGTGTAGGTGTCCATCGAAACAAACCAAAAAAGCCATTATGGCGTAGAGGTGGCCGCTAGTGAAGGTATATCTCTACTTACTTCTCTGTGGTACATCAATATCAGTGTGTAAAGTTAGGTAACTATGACTCGTACATTTGGATTTAATTATTATTAGCGTTAAAGACTTTATTCACTGACAAATAAGATTAATAAACAGAACATTGACGTTCTCTCCTGATTTAAATTCTAACGCCTCCATCTAATAGATTCTTCTACTGTGCGTTTACCGCTTTGTATTGTCCCATTTTCAAAGTTTACGTTCGTTTGGAGTTGTTATACATCGTCTGCAAATCAAAATCCGAAAACTAATCCGATCAAAAGGAAGGTAAGATTTGAATAAAGAAAAGACCTTAGTCCTCGGCAGAGTTGTCAACATCCCTTGAGATCTGCATAATCCTTTAGATTATCCTCAGCCTCATTCCATAATTTTTCAATATTTGTCGCTGCGAAATGACCTCTTAGTAAGATGACTTCAGGACCGGCTTAGAACGTCCTCAAAATATATCTCACTTTACGTCATAGTATTTGCGCTGGCAACCCGACGGTCAGTGACGAACCACGTACAGCTTTTCACGTAATCGTCAACCAGGATAAAATCCCCATTGCAACATAAATGAGTACTTCTCGCGGAACAAAAGAAATTCCATTTGAAGCTGTTAGAGAAAAGAAAGAACAAAATCGTCCTGTTAACACGTAACTGCAGATATGCTTTGCTCGTCAAATTGGAAACTGAGAAAATGGGGTTGTCAGTGGTGAACTTTCTTATCACTGTGGAAAATAATAATAAATGGTCTGGCCTTCATATGATGCCAGTAAGCTTGAACCGATCGAACTTAGATACCAAACTCGGAATCAAGACATCACTATGCTTCTAGGAAACCAGATGCTAGAACAGACTATTATACAATAAACACTTTTTCCAAGAACAGTATTACCGCGCAGACCCAAGAACAGTGGGAGATTAAGCAAACAAACGGTAACGATTGCAGGTGTATCAAAATTTTTGGTCCTAAACGTCCACTGCACGATTACGACGTGAAACTTCCACAGGCGATGTTGTGTGGACGAAGTCAACACAGAAGACAAAAGTTTTCCATTCCCCGTATTGATCTTGGACACATTTCTAAAGAATTCGCCGTCTTTCGGACATTTAAGATATTGGGTGAGGCTAAATAGAAGCGATAACGTTTGAAAGAACATGAACAGATAATTTTCAGTGACGTTTTCGTAGCAGTGGTCGTCGTAGTTGCTTAAACTCCCAGTCATTCGAGACGACGACGACGACGACCCTTCGTAGCACCGTTGTAACGGGTTGACAGTGAACATCTGAGTCTTCGATTATGAGGTAACCTAAGAACAGTTGAAACAAAGCTTACCTTTCCGGCATTGTTTACCATTTCCCTGGTAACCTTTCAGACAGCAACAGTGATAAGAGCCTCTTAAATTGGTACACTCGGCATTCTTGTGGCAGTCATGGGTACCTGCTTCGCACTCATCGTTATCCACACATGACCATCCATCGCCTGTAAATCCCGGTTTGCAGTTACAACTGTATGAACCTTCGGTGTTTCTGCATTCTGCGTTCCAGTCGCAAGGTTTGTGGATGCACTCGTTCTTGTCAGAACAGTTCCTCCCGTCACCAAAGTAACCAGCAATACACGAACACTGGTAAGAACCAAGCGTGTTATTGCAGCGAGCATGTCTGTTACACGTTGTGGTGCCAACATTGCACTCATCGACATCTATGACATTATAAAGGAAACAAATATATCAAAACATGAAGTATTGAATTGTTTTATTTCGCTCTTATTATCTCTCCCTCTCAATATATCGTCTTTCTCATGGCCTTCCCTTCCGTTGCATAAGCTACTTGTTTCCTAAAGTGGAAATAAAATAGAGTTGGAGTTTAGTAGACAAAGTAATTTTGCAACTTCTCGGGAAATGGACCATACATTGCGTAATCTAGCCTATTAATTTTTTAATTTTTTGAGGAACCCGGAAATAATAGTATTTAAAATGTATTTGGTAACAAGGTTATGCGTATGTATAACGTGCTGTTCTGTACCATCTTGCTGCTGTAACGCAGCTTCTGCAGTTTAGACTTCAAATAAATACTTTCAATTGACAAAGAGAAATTTCTGATACCCCCGACACAGTGGCAGATTACTTTTAATAATCACTGAAAATTTTATATTAGTCCATCGTACCGTTGCAATGGGTCCCATTTCCGGAATAGCCATTTTTACACAAACACATGTAAGAGCCTGGGTTGTTTACACAGCTGGCATCCTTACTGCACAGGCTATTACCATCACCACATTCGTCGACGTCTGCACAAGAATGCCCATTACCATAGAAACCGAAAAGACAGGAGCATTCGTACGAACCCACTTTGTTCGTGCACTCAGCATTCTTGTCGCACATATGCCTTTCAGCCTTACACTCGTCAATGTCAAGGCAGGAGAATCCGTCCCCAAGGAACCCATCGCGACAAGTGCAGTTATAAGAGCCTACAATGTTGCTGCAAAATGCATGCTGACTACAGTTGTGCTTCTCTTTCTTGCATTCATCGATATCTTTGCAAGACCATCCATCTCCCTGAAATCCAGCAAGACAGGAGCAATTGTAGGACCCGATGGAATTAGTGCATGTTGCATGCTGACTACAGTTGTGCTTCTCTTCCTTGCATTCATCGATATCTTTGCAAGACCATCCATCTCCCTGAAATCCATCGAAACAGGAGCAATTGTAAGACCCGATGGAATTAGTGCATGTTGCATGCTGACTACAGTTGTGCTTCTCTTCCTTACATTCATCGATATCTTTACAAGACCATCCATCTCCCTGAAATCCATCGAGACAGGAGCAATTGTAGGACCCGATGGAATTAGTGCATGCTGCATTCTGACTACAGTTGTGCTTCTCTTCCTTGCATTCATCGATATCTTTGCAACACCATCCATCTCCCTGAAATCCAGCAAGACAGGAGCAATTGTAGGACCCGATGGAATTAGTGCATGCTGCATGCTGACTACAGTTGTGCTTCTCCTCCTTGCATTCATCGACATCTTTGCAATACCATCCATCTCCCTCAAATCCAGCGAGACAGGAGCAATTGTAGGACCCAAGGGAATTAGTGCATGCTGCATGCTGACTACAGTTATGTTTGTCTCCGTTACATTCATCTATATCTTTGCAAGACCATCCATTCCCCCGAAAACCTGCTAGACAAGTGCAGTTATAAGACCCAACGGAATTACTACAAATTGCGTTTTGACTGCAGTGGTACTTGTCGTCTGTGCACTCATCCACATCTCTACACGACCATCCATTACCATGAAATCCAGAAAGACAATTACACCTGTATGACCCTATATCATTAATACAATGTGCATAATTGCTGCAATTGTGATTAGTTGTGTTGCATTCATCGATATCATCACAAGTCCACCCATCTCCACGGAATCCAGAAAGGCAAAGGCATTCGTAATTGCCAAAGCCATTTCTACACATTGCATGATGGCTGCAGTTGTGCTTGTGGAGCTTGCATTCGTCTTGATCATAGCATGCCATTCCATCGCCATGGTACCCAGGAAGACAATCACACTCATATGAGCCTTCAGTGTTCACACATGATGCATATGTGCTACAAGAATGCTTTCCGCTCTTGCATTCATTGGTATCCTGGCAGATGTGTCCGTCCCCTTGGAACCCAGGATAGCATTGGCATTTGTAGGAACCAACTGTGTTCTCACAGGTGGCATTTGAAGAGCAGTCATCTTCATCTGATAGACACTCGTTGATGTCTAGAAAAATAAAAATTAGAAAAGTCAGATCTCAAAGTATGTACACCTTCCACCCCACTTTGAAGCCGCCAGTGTAGTTGAAACTCACCCGATCACAAGAATAGGAAAAGCAGGGAACATTTTCCACTTTAGCCTACCGGGAAGTTATAGAATGACGTAATTCTTATCCATAACAAAAATTAAAAACCCTTAGTATACGTCAAGAGATAAGGAAATGAATCTCTCTAAAGAGGAGCTATGTCACCATTAATTTGGCCAAATTGAGTTCATTATGTTTAGAAACCGGCCCCAAAATGAATACGACTATTTCGAGAAAGGTTGTCGGAAAAAGTGCACGTGACAATTCCGAAAGGTATTGTGGTCGGTTTGGAGTTCGCTGTTCCTCAAAGGAATGTGAAAGAATGGCACGAAAGGCCATAGACATATGTGAGAGTGCTAAAAGAAAGCAACAAAAGTAGGTTCGCCAGCTGCAGTGTCATGAACAGTATATTGTTCATATACCATATTACCTTTCGGGATTGTCGCGCACACATATTTTCCGACAACCTTTCTCAAAATAGCTGTATCTGAAATAATATGAAAACATCCATTGTCGAATATAAACACTTCTTGAACAGTTAAGGGACAGTAAATTTACATAGTATATACAGCGAAAGGTACCGATGGAAAAATTGAAGAAGATTAAAATGGATCACGCAAGTGACGATGAAGAAGATTCAGCTTATCAGTTTTAAAGTTTATCTACTGTTAGTGGTAACACATGTTTCTAACCCTTTAAGTCCCAATAGGGACAAATATCGATTTTCTTCCCACAATATCCATACATTGTCAAGAGATTAGGTTATGAGAATTAATAAAATGATCGCTGAAGAGAAAATGCTTTGATGAGAGGCAATTGTTTCATTAATGATAAATTTCCTAGCCGAAATTAGTTAACAAACAGGAGAACATTGAATGAACCAGTTATAAACTACAAACCGAACACATTTGAACAATGCGGCCAAAGATGATGTATTATCTGAATAGGGCCTTATGGTTCCACCGCGTCAAATGCACCTCAACAGAGAATACTAGTATGCGACACTTCAGCAGATCTTTTCATGTGATCTTACCTTGGCAAACAGTTCCGTTGCCAATAAATCCTTCTTTGCACACACAAGCAAAATAATTTTCGTCACCAGGATCCGCTGTACAGGCAGCATTTGTATCACAAAGTGCTTCCACCCTGCAGTCGACAATTCTGGGCTCACATCGGTTGTGCAGCTCAGCTATAGAAAAAAAGAAAAGAAATGTTAATTCTTTGGCCATCATTTGTCTCACAGTGCTCCGCGGAAAAAAATTTCATATATTGCCCCAAATCCGTCGATCCTTGATCGAGAGTACTAACGCGTTTCAAAGCAACTGCAGAAGCGAGCTTTAATGAAGCCATGCAGTGATCAAGTGAGCGAAGAAGTCGAGAGGTCGACTAAAATAGTCCAAGCAACCCGAAAGATAGAGGGATTTGACTGAAAGTCTGCCTTCCTTGCAAAATCAGAGAGTTTCAATTCTACCTTGTTTTCAATGCCTGCAGTCTTCTGCACTTTCGTTTCCACTTAAGACGAAGTGAATATAAGAATTTCGCCATCGTTTAATACACTAAGACACTCAAAGGCCCTGAGTTCATCTGCGCCGAACTCAATTATGGGGAAAATGATATTTGGGTTCAACGAAAGAACGACGTCAATTCAGACGTCGTGCAAGAGTCGACCTTTATTAATGTGAACGTAGTATCAAGTCAGCTGCAAAGGAATTCCGAAATTTATAAATATATAGTTCGACACGGCATAAGCACGAGATTTGAATCACTGCCGCACGTACTAGATCCGGCCGAACAAAATTCAAACTTCGATTCAGACGTCATGCCTCTGTAGTGCTTTTTTCGAGTCTATATCAAGAGATATTTAAGTTCACCACGGCTGAAGCACAAGGTATGAACTGGACCTAAGTTAGAACTGCGAACATTTTCACATTCTTGTTTCTTTTAGTTTTCTCCTTTGTCGAGTGAATGCTAGTGCCATCCAGAAAGTAATGATGACTTTAGTAAAAAGATCAAAGGTTGGAATAACCGTGTTGTATTAAACTGTAGCTTACTTTTTGACTAGTGATATTAGAAGCGTATGAAAAGCACGTGAATTGAATAACATAAAGCGACCATTATCCATCAGACCTGAAGCACTGTCTCCACCTACCCGAAGATTTCGCTGGTCTCCCATGTAATGAGAACTTGACGACGAGTCCAACACCGACTAAGATAAGGACAAAAATAACACCTCCTGCTACAATAGCCCATCGTTTCTTTGACATTTCGTAGCCCAATACTATTACCAAAGTTCTACCGAAAGATTAAAGCGAGCGTAACAAACCTTTATCTAGCGAGCGTAAATGTGATGACCGAAGCAAATTTTTTTTTGAAATACTTTCAGTATTGTAAAAGGGGAAAACCCTGTCATTTGAGACATACTCGACGATCGTTTTCACCGTCACGCAACAAACAAATAAATTGGAAACTGTCCAGTGGAAGCAGCCGAGAAAATGAAATGTTATAAAAGACTAATATATAAACAATTTGGCAAGTCTCAGGTCTTTGTGGCCCACAGTTTCTGAGTTATTTGCCGAAACGTTTCACGCTCCTTCCTATTTTGGTGTCACGCACTGTGAAAACACGGAAGTTCAAATTGCTCTATTTTCGAAATGAAACATGCTACAGGACTGGAAACGTGTACAACGATTTTTTTGTTTATCTTCAACCTAGAGTAAATAAGAATTCGAAAAAAACCTCGCTATTTTGACTTTACAATTTGATGACGTTACTGTGAAAACATCGGTGGTTTTCACAGTGACGTCATCAAATTATCAAGCCAAAATAGCGAGGTTTTACGAATTCTTATTTACACTCGGTTGAAGATAAACAAAAAGTAAATCTTTGTACAAGTTTCCATTCCCGTAGCACGTTTCATTTCGACAATACAGCAATTTGAACTTCCGAGTTTTCACAGTGCGTGACACCAAAATAGGAATGTTGTCTTGTTGAAAAAAAGTCTTTCCTCTTGATTTTCAGCAGTATAACCGTTTCAAGTATTAGAAGATATGTTTATGCACACGTATGCTAGTTCTCGAGTGAAAAGAAAGAACTTTTATAGAAAAATTGAAATCCAGATGTTTTTGTTGATTTCCGGCAGCCATATTGGTGCACCAAAACGGTACACCAATATGGCGTCTCCATGCAAAGCTCTACAAAGATGCGTGAAACGTTTCGGCAAATAACTCAGAAACTGTGGGCCACAAAGACCTGAGACTGGGACAAATTGTTTATATATTAGTCTTTTATAACATTTCATTTTCTTGGCTTCTTCCACTGGACGGTTTCCGATTTATTTTTTTGTTGCGTGACAGTGAAACATGACACATCAGAACAGAGCCGAGAAACTTCGATGAAATTGAATCCAGGGGCATATCATTACACTCTAGGTTCCAAAATCAGCTAAGTAATTTTTTTTGTTCATTCCTTCTGAGCTGAGGACTAATAAATGCTATTCTGGCTCCACAGATCAGTTTTCAAAATACCTACAGGCAGATGCTACCGGGGGTGAAATGAATATAGTGCCCACGATTTGATAAAGCTTCGCCACGAACTATCAGGAATTAGGAAAGAAAAACAACCGGGCACCCAGTTTAAATAAATACAAGGTCGCTAAAATGTACTGTGTGATCTTGCAATAACGATAGGATAAAAGGAAATGACAGTAATCATATTAAATTACATTAATTTTCATTTAAAATATTTCTCCCTTTCTTTTTGGCTTAAGGCCTGGTTCAGATGCCGTACTTTTCATGTGCCGAACCTACCTGAATAAGTTTGACTTTGGAGCGACACTGGCGCGACATCTGATTCAGACGGCGTACCGTGTGGCGAACCTAAGTTAAGTTCGACAAAAGTTCGACAGACTCTGTCGAACTTAACGCTTTTGCCGCACCAAACTAAAACTGCCGTACCAAATTGAATCAGACGCCGCTCTTTTGCCGTACTTAATTGATCAGTTAGGCTAGCACATGAGTGGAGCGGCCTCTGAACCGGGCCTAAATCACCCCCGCCCGCTAGCGTACCACATGATTTCTGATCTGTTCTCACACGTCCTTTACGTGTACGAACAGGTAGTTTTTTATTCATGTTTTCGTTAATATATCAGATATATAGGTGGTTTACCATTTACCACAAATTCCCGGAAATTTTTGGTTGGGATGTAAATCGTAAAAGTTTTTTTGGTTCGTGCCACTGGAAAATTCCCGGGTCATACGGGAATCGTAAATCTACAGGAGTATTTTGTGTATGGGAAAAGGCATTAAATGACGACTACATCAGAGAAATTTGCCTAAAAAAGCAATATTCTCGTGTCATAGCCCCTTTAATTTGCACTTGTAATGTGCATATTAATATATTTTCTAATCATCTTTGTTTTTAAAAATTAGGGTAGGAAATTTGAAATTCTTGTAAGAATTATGTGTCCCTGATAAGTGGAGCAAAACTTACTATTCGATGTTTATGTCATGACCTTTTTTTTGCATAAAAAAGTAGACGACATCGTGAAATTTAACAATGACAAAAACTCTTTCAGTCTAGGCAGACCTTTGATGACAAATCAGCCTACTGTGGGAGCACAAAGTAACATACGACCTCACAAATAGACACGCTTGATATTGACTGGGCTATAGCAGAAATGGTGATGGATCAGTAGTGCATAATAAGCTCGTTCAGCTTCGTTTCTCAAAGGGTCACAGAGCGCGCTGTTTCCTTGGAGATCTGCGTCAGAACTGATGTATTTTGCGCGATTACGTCATGGGATTTTCCCTGCCTTTCCGAGAATTGGAAAGCAGCTGGTCAGCTGAGTTCCAGGAATGTGCTTCGTTCAGCTCGATCGTTCAGACTTTGCAAAAAAATCGTGAAGATTTCAACTTTGTCTTATATCTGAATGAAACATATCATGTCACCACCAAAGAAGAAATTTGACTTGGAAAGCGTTAAAGAATTTATCGGAAATGTATGGAGGAGAGTTAAATCAAACCCCAAGCTATCGTTAGCCTTGGCGTTTCTGTTAACAGTTGTTTTGGCTGGTAGTCTTATTCTCGCATTTAAGCTTGGACAAGAATCATCAGAAACCAAAGGTAGTCAAGGTAGGTGCAGATAACATTAAGGGGTAATATAAGAGAATTTAAAAACGTTATCTTCCGCACTGGCTCGTTTGGCTCCGTTTCGGAACTGAACCAACTAAAAGGCGAGGAGGAAGCTCTCTAAACGACGTCGGCAACATTAAACAAACACCGTGCAACTCTACACTGTCATACAGCACATTTTTGGTATATATCTCCGCCCGGCACTGCATGACTACGACGTAAAATCATCTTATACGATCCTTAATGAAACTTGGGCTCCATCATCAAGAATTCAACTCCAGGGAAATTCATCCTTATTTGCTGTTTAAAATGATTTGTAATAATTGCGATAACAGGTGAAAAAGTTTAGAAAAACGCTAATTCATTTTCGATGAGGCTTTTTGTTGTAGTCGCTGTGGTTTTCAGCTGAACTAGCGTAGCTCACGCCGGCTATGCTGATGGACAAGAAAAAAATCGTTTCCTTTTATTCAGAACTACCCTCTTTATACATGCATTCACCTAAAAATTATTGTTCTGTCAACCAACATGGCTTCACGCTTTGTCGCGTGACAGAAAAAAACAGCAATATGCTTCGCTTACTTAGCAATTTTTTTGGTTACTAAGTTATTGTTTAGGTTGTACATTAATGTTCACCCAAAAAGCGATATTATGTATATTGTATTTCATTTGTGTTACGAAAAATGAACAAACTTTCAAGGATTTTCTAGATGAGAAGGCAATTACCGACAAGTATGCTATTTTCAGGAAACTGTAATCTGCTTACTCGGCTCTCATGCCATTTAAATTGCCCGACGTCCTTATAGGTTTTATAACACTGGGGCAACTTAAAATACTATAATTACAGATCGAACCTTTTAAAATTGCGGGACATCGTGTAAATTTACTCCTGTATTTTGCTATGAAACCTCCAAAACTGTTGTAAGCTTAAACTTCTACTCATTTCTTGATCCTCTGGCTCTCCATAGTTGAAGAGGACAAGCGAATATTGGCCACTGGATTTGATTGCAGACAGAAGCCACTTTGTGATGCCAATGCTGTTTGTACAACAGACCAATTGAACAGGGATCGTCATGTCTGTGTCTGTAACAATGGCTTTCAAGGGAACGGTTCTTTATGCCATGGTAAGAGCTCAGATTTTGCCGGGCCAAATTAATTAAGCCTAGGGATCAAGTTCAGTTCGACCTAAAGCACGGCAGCAGTACGACGTTTAAATTATACAGTTATTATAAACACCCGCGAATAAGAACGAATGAATGAACAACTTTATTAACGTGTCAAGATCTTCTAGCCGGCCACAAGTAGCATACTAATCGGGGACACTTAGTTAGTAAAATCTGTTTAATAAGCTTAAGATTGAATTTGATAATATTTACGATGAATATTCACTATAAAATTACATTAATAACGTTAAATATTATATGTAACAATGAATAAAAATTAATAAATAAATAATAATATTAACAATAAAATAGTCTACATTAGGGTCTCAAGTATTACACAAGGTACAATTTGAACATCTGTTCTCAGCTATGAGACTTGAAAGGTCTCTCCTCTGGATACTTGTTTTGAAAGCCGATAATGTAGCTAGGTCCCTGTCCTTTGTCTGAGATTAAGAACCTCCTGGAAGAAATTTCCCCCTTCAATGCCCCAAAATGCAAGAACCTGTTTAGCCGAGGAAGATCAAGCAGGTTCTTATATGTGGGTTACAGTTAAATCATGATAAACAATTTAACACAGAAGCGTAACTTTGCGATAGTACAGTATAACAAGAACATACTGTACCAAACTGCATGTATACGAATTCGGTAATCAGTTGCAAATAAATACTGTATTTTCAAGGACCAAACCCAAGTATTATTTTTCTGGTAATCAACAATCTTACCTCCTTCATAAAAACAAAGAGCCTATTTAAGAACCAACTTAGCCTAAATTGCCGATGATTACCCCAAAATACAAGAAACTATTTTGGCAGACTCCACTAAAGTAGGTTCTTATTCGTGGCTGTCTACTGTACTTCATGGCAGTAGCAAGTCTAAAAGTCGTGTTCAAGACATCAGAACTGTGTCAGTTGAGAAGTTTCTATAGTATCTACTCTCTGACATGTTGAGACCTGACTGTAATGAGCCTTTTTTGACAAATATATTTTGGAGATTTCGGGATGTTTTATATGTTATGTTTTCAAAGTGGCCGCCAGAAAAAAGGTTAATATGAAGATTTTGGAACATTTTTCTTTAAAATATTGTTTGCCTCAGACTCGGGAAGAAGACTGCTTGTTAACTGAAATTTGAATGGACTCTCAGAAGCTAAAATCTTCACTTCAAAGATGAACTCGGGTGCAAAAGATAAAGCTGTAGGGGAGATGCAAGATATCCAAGCGATTCATAGTCAGAGTGTGTAGAAGATTGAAACTCAAGCTAAAAAGTACTTACGCAAATACGCACATAGGGGCACAAGGGTAACTATAGTGAAGGCAAAGGCATTTTTTTCTGATATCGGGACAGTTTAACCAGACTTATTTTCAACTTGAATTTCCTGCAGACATAGATGAGTGCTTATCTGAAGAACTGCATCCCTGCCCCTCAAACGCAAAATGTGTGAACGTCATTGGCAGCTACAAGTGTACTTGTCTTCCTGGTTACGAAGGAGATGGACGCTCATGTACAGACATCAATGAGTGCAGCATAAGCAAACATAACTGTAGCACTGATTCGTTGTGTAATAACACTATTGGCTCTTATACCTGCACTTGCCTTGACGGATTTCAAGGTAATGGCTTTTCATGTAAAGACGTAGACGAGTGTAAAACAGACGTTCATGATTGCAGCCCCCATGCGTCATGCACTAATTCAATTGGTGGCCACAACTGCTCTTGTCTGCTAGGTTTCCAAGGTGATGGGCGGACCTGTCAAGATGTTGATGAGTGCAAAGCCTTGAGCCATAACTGCAGTATTCATGCATCGTGTATAAACACACTTGGTGGATACGAATGCAAATGCCGTGACGGATTTGAAGGCAACGGATTCGAATGTATAGACAAGGATGAATGTGAGATGAAAACCCACAATTGTAGCCGTCATGCAAACTGCAGAAACAACGTCGGTGCATATAACTGTAGTTGTCATGATGGTTATGAAGGCAACGGATGGTCTTGCACAGACGTAGACGAATGCAAGACTAAAACACATAGCTGCAGTATAAACGCATTCTGCACAAACAATATTGGTTCATATAACTGCACTTGTCATGATGGTTATGAAGGCAACGGATGGTCTTGCACAGACGTAGACGAATGCAAGACTAAAACACATAACTGCAGTATGAACGCATTCTGCACAAACAATATCGGTTCATATAACTGCACTTGTCATGATGGTTATGAAGGCAACGGATGGTCTTGCACAGACGTAGACGAATGCAAGACTAAAACACATAACTGCAGTATAAACGCATTCTGCACAAATAATATCGGTTCATATAACTGCACTTGTCATGATGGTTATGAAGGCAGTGGATGGTCTTGCACAGACGTAGACGAATGCAAGACCAAAACGCATCACTGCAGTATAAATGCATTCTGCACAAACAATATCGGTTCATACAATTGTAGTTGCCGTGGTGGATTTAATGGTGATGGACGAACGTGCAGAGACATTGATGAGTGCAAAATGCAGACACACAATTGCAGTATCTATGCATCCTGTACGAACAGCATCGGTGCATTCAAATGCAAGTGCTTTGATGGATATGAAGGTAATGGATGGCAATGCACTGACATCGATGAGTGTGGGATTGGAACTGACAACTGTCACTCTAGTGCTAGTTGTGTGAACAAGCCAGGCTCGTACAGTTGCTTCTGCAAAAGAGGGTACACGGGGAATGGACGGTACTGCACAGGTAAGCAGTCTCCAGTGTAATACCAAACCATAGAAGCAAACCACAACATTGAACCCGGCGTGTCCAAGCGATGAAATTCGACAATAGATAAAATCGATTGTAATCGATAGTAATACTGAATCGAGTGATATCGGAAATGGATTAAAAAATCAGAGATCGAAAGAGTTGATTATCGATTTTTATTAATTTTCATCGATTATATCGATTGTCAATGGTAATCGTTTGACCATAATTTCAGAAACGTTTAAGCTATGCATTAGAAATTGAAAGTATTACCAGTTGTAATTTTTCACTTCCTAAAAGGAGATCTTTCGTTCCATAGCTGTTTTTCTTCTAGTCTGCTAAACAGCCGTTTTCAGTCAGAAGTCGTCACGCAACGCTCCTCCCCAGTTAGTGGGGAGGAGCGTTGCGTGACTACTCTAACGGCTGTGTAGCAGACTATTTTTCTATTAAATGTGTCGAAAATACGAAAACAATGATTGAAAGTGTGTTGAAAACTCTCTTCGAAAAATCTGATCATTTGAAACTCGCGATGCGTGGACAAAAAATAACTAAATAGCCCCTTATGACGTGGATTTGTTGAACAACGTTTCTTGAAAGTAACGACTCCTACAAATAACAAGAGATCCGGCCACTTTCCCCGCTTTTATGCGACGTAAACTAAAACTGTACAACAGAACTTCATAAACTGGTGTCCAGCGCTTTTTAAAATCCATAAGAATTGATACAATTAAAAGGACCTCGATTGTGAGTATCGATTTTCATCGATTGATGAAACCAATCAATATTAATCAACTAAATTTTTATCGATTACACCGATTATATTGATTAGTTTCCGATGATTGATTTTCATCGATTCGGCACGCCGGGCATTGAATTAGTACACCCTCAACGTAGGAATTTAATATTAAGAAACATGATCTTTACCATAAGCTTTCTCATGACAGGTCCAACATGAAATATCGAAGATTTCAACTCTTGTACACGGTTGTTTTGACATCTTAAAATGCCTAAAATGGTAATAGACAAATCTGACTACACAGGAAGCTGTCACCCGTTTTCGGGTCTTCCTGTTATACTGACGGAGAGCTCAGTTTTGGTTGATCTTTAAAATTTCTGAGAGAAAAGTTCATCTTTATGGGAATTTGGACTCCCTAACTGAGCGTGAGTTAAAGGCCTTTGACTAGAGCTCTTAAGAATGGCATCGTCTAATAACGACTTCACCGTTTTATTATTTGGTCTTTAGATATAAATGAGTGCCAACACGTGCACATGGAGACAAATTGCAGTCCAAATGCGCAATGCATCAATAACCAAGGATCCTACAGTTGTAAGTGCCTGGATGGATACCAAGGCGATGGCGAAACGTGCTATGATGAGGACGAGTGTAGTCGAAATCCTTGCAACCCGAACGCAGTTTGCAGAAATACAGACGGCTCGTACACCTGCAGCTGTAGAACCGGTTTTCGAGGAGACGGAAAGTGGTGTGATGACTATAACGAGTGCCTAGCGGGTGTTTATGACTGCCACAAAAAAGCCGTCTGTGTAAATACATGGGGATCGTATCACTGTTCCTGTTCCAAAGGGTATCACGGAAATGGCCACGTCTGTAAAGGTGAGGGATTCGGTCATATCCGACAAAGTATAGCTCTTGGAAATGGAGGGGTCTCCTAGGAATTCTTGGTAGAGCTGTGCCACCCGGTTCTCCAAATCCTGACCCTATTTCAGACCGAAACATACCATTTTGCACACCCGTTTTCAGACCTGATCTCTGAAAGATGATTAGTTTGTGAACCGATTGTGGCGTTTGAGTAAAATCACGAGGGCTTTTGCAGAAGACAGACACTGGCTGCTCTTCTCCTTTAAAATGCTCTTGGAGCTGAAAAGAGAAATACTTTATATGCCCCCCTGGTTCCCTTGCGGCGCTCGCTCGAGCACGCAGAGCTCCGCTCTTACTAAGGTAAGGAAGTGGCCCCATTCCCCGAGCTTCGTTTGTAGGGGTCGAACTCCAGTCATTACTAGTATTACTGGGACGAGAATTCACGCTATTTCCCAGATAAAACTTTAATTTTTAAGGCACGTCCGGCTTTACTATTACTGGCGAGTGTTGAATAAAAGGTATATTTTTTTTGTCTTCCTTGAAAGAACTTACAGAAGTATAAGTCCAATTACGGTTCGTGAAAGTATTTAAGCTAGCTGGTCAGCTTCACGTCAAAAACTGACAAGGCTTTATAGTACATTCTTGTTTTTCGCTGACACTAACCAACAACCAAAATCAGCAAAACCGGGTGTTGGGTGTGGTTTATGGAGCTTAACAGCCAAAATAAGCAAAATTAGGTGTTGGGTGTGCTTGATGAAGCTTTAAATGTTTACATGACCTACACCGTAACACTTAATAACGACTGAACATCTTTTTTTTCTTTTCCCAGTTTCTTCTTCCAGCAGCATAATACCGACAAGATTTCTTTTTTTCGTCATGCTTACCGTTTCTTATGTGATGTTAACTTGAGGACGAGGGCGGCGATTTTGAAGCAATTCTACACGTTTTATGATTGATACTGAGCCTCCACTCATGCCATTCACAAAGGATTTTTCCAATCCAGTGTAGGAGAAAGGGTTTGGAATCGGCCTAAATAGAGTAAAGTTTCGTTTTCAGAAATCGGTACCAAATTGCGTGCTAAGACTTTATCACTATTGGCCACACAAATCGAAGAAAAACAATGAAAATGGTTAGTTTTTTGTTAACGTAAAACTAATTTTGTCAAAAAGGATGTATCCACAAAGTCATCTAAACTTTAGTTAGAATGTAGAAATCTGACCTGGTAGGAAAGCGTGGTAACGAAAACGGGTTCTTTGCGACCAACCATAAGATAAGAAGCCTATTGCCTCCAACGCGCTGGGGCAGCGGTTAGAATTTAAGAAAACAGTGCAATTTCAAGTAGCCAATTTGAAAAACCAGTTGGGCAAGGAACTCCTTCATATACGCCATATCTGCCTTTTGTAAAGTATTTGTAAATATTTTTAATTCTACTTTTATTATTCATAGACTATTATTTTATTACGGTATTGTAAAACTATATATTTCAGCCGAGCGGCTGCGACGTAATTTAATAAACCATCAATCTATCAATATTTCTATTTATCTATCTATCTATCACAGATCACGCTGCTTCAGCAGTCCTTAACCCTTTAAACCCTAAGATCAAAATTTGAATTCTCATCTGTTGTCCCTATCTATTTCCTACAGAAGTAGTGGGGAGAAGTTGATAAAATGTCAAGCGATTTCAGCTTGTGTGATCATGTCCGTAATCCTCACGACCACACTGTTTTAGAAACCATTGATATTACAAGGAAAAATTGGATGTTAATCTCTGTTAGGGCTTAAAGGGTTAAAGGGGATATGTCACGCTACTTGCTATTTCTTTGAAAAGTTAAAATCTCTCTTGAAACTCCGAGTTACAACAGTTTTCATCATTTGCATTTGTATTTCGATGTGTATATTTTATCATGCATTGAGCACTCAAGGATTGGTGAAAGAATCTTTTTATCGTTTGTCAATTTTACTATTAAGATGTAATTTGAACGTGTTCAAGATTCAAACAACTTATATATTATTATAAGTTATACATTACTCACTATGCTAGTAGGCAAATTAGGTAAGAATACAATGTGTTGAAAAGAGTAATAATTCTTTTAGGTGAGTATCTATTTAAGTGGAATTGTACAATTTAATTTATTTAATTAATGTTTATTCTTAGGTAAGATTGTAAAATTTGTCTTTAATTAATTCAATAAAAACTGTTAAAAAAAACTGACTCCTGTTAAACCTCTAATCCTGCAAAAAGAGCATTGACATATTGCTCTGAGAGCAATTTGATTTAAACCACTGGGCCCGGTTCCTGAAAGGCCGATTAGCGCTAATCCGGGATTAAAATTTTTTTCCACTTTTTGTATTTACTTTCCAATACATTGCCTAAAGCAACATTTTGTGTTATCATTTCTTTTTTTCGAAGTAAAGGCACACTGACAGTATTTTGTAAGCTCGAGGAACATGTTCTTGGACAAGAAAACCTTGCTTAAAATTGGCTTAATCCTGGGTTAAACTTAACCATCTTTCCAGGAACCGGGCCGGCTGCATGCGGGTCAAGATCATACCTGGGTTTTCTTGTTTGTTTGTTTGTTTTGTTTTGTTTCTTAATTTTATCAGTACGCTGTGCTTGTCAACCGCATCAAATGGGCTTTCTTTAGATCTAGGAAAAGTACACTATTAATTACGTCATTATCAATATTTAAGTACCAGTTCTTAGTAGCTTCAAGGAAGCAATTAAAGTAAAATGCATCGGTCTAAAATCATGCTGAGTATCCGCCACTAAATTATTGCGAATCAGGTATTCATAAAGTAGATCAAAAAATGAGGATGGCTATGTTCACGCGTTTAGGGTTTCTGTTCACACGCAAGAGGTGTTGCCCACCACTTCTGAGCTGTTGCCCACTACTTCTGGGCATATCTAAAGTCTTAAAAAATAACATCGAACGTACCAATCATTGTGCGATCAAGACATTACTGAATTTAGGTAATTCAGCTACCTATGACTTTTGCCTAGCAATGGCTGATACGGACAAGCTTGAGCAAAGACGTACCCTGCAATCGCTTATTCTATTTTTTAAATGTTTTAAACTAGATGGCCCATATTATATTTCCCAATTTTTTACACCTCGGCTAACAAAATACAATCTACGAGACAGTGGCTTAAATGTTGTGCAGCCTCCATGTAACAGCCTTGTCATGCACAACTCCTATTTATACATGATTGCCCACATATGGAATCAATTACCAACTGCCACCAAATCCTCGAGCACTTCAGCACAATTTCGTAGGAGCGAGGATCGGAACCCACTGACACGGAAGTAAATATTCAGGAGGGAGGGCTGGCAGGGGCGTAGCCAGGTACTCACATTTTTTCTCCTCGCTAACGGGACTCTCAGACGGCAAAGTAATACTTTTGTCTAAGTTTCTGAAGAAATAAATGTCCAAAAGGTAGGCAACGGCTTTCCACAGAAAATTCCTATCCAGTGGATCAGTGTCAAAATAACCGGTTGTGTTTTTTGCTGGGAAGAGACCCATCAAGCGAATAGCAATGTGAAGTCTTTTAAACAGTTAAGCCCTGACTTCGATTTTATCTTAATGATTTTCTTGAAAAATCCAAAATTGTCCTGTTACACTAGATCAAGAGCAATAATAGGATATTATGGCTCTTGACTAGATATATAAAAGGTCTGTTAGACAAAATCTAGAAGTAGCTCTACGAAAAGACTTCGCTGACAGAATGGATTCTAGAGATAACTGAAAATTAGTCGTGCTAAACTGGACGATTTTCCTAGCCTGGGAGCAAGCTCTCCTATTTGGACAAGTGAAGGGAGCCTCGCGAGAACGCGCGAGCGAGGGGCCGCTCGCTCGCGCGTTCTCGCGCGGCTCGCTTTGCTCGTCCAAATAGGAGAGCTTGCTCGCAGGCTACGATTTTCCATGTAACAGTCCTGGAGATGTAAAGTTCAGAGAGTAGTTATTCTTGGTTCGCAGGAAGAAGTGCCTTAAATGCACATGCTCGTTTTCTGAGGGACTTGGAAACATCAGATCCCTTGTTGTTCTTTATGTCGCTAAGCGTGTTGTAAAGTGTCTTACAATCCCAAACCAGAAAACCTGCGGTGATAATACTTCTTACAAATTTGGTTCCAAAAGGAACTCTAATCCCGGCACCAACCCAGGCTCCAGACTCCTGATAACCAATTTCTGCAACGGGCACATATTTCTCGGCTGCACTAGCGTCTCCACAGGCCCCGAATGTCAGCTGGAATTTCTCAATGTTTATGGCTCTCACGTTTGGCCCAACGTACTCAGCGGCCCTGACCGATCCCTTGCAATGACTACTCCAAGCTGCCGCTCTGGCCACTACACTTGAACTCTCGGATGCTATGCTTACACCAACGTCTCCAGCTGTACTAGTTGCCACTTTCGCACCAGTCTCACCAACCGTTTTGGCTACAGTTTTAATACCAGGGCCGATCCCGGCGTAGGCTCCTCCAGCTTTTAAAACTAATTCCGAGGCGTCTCGCGCTGTATTAACGGGGATCCTGTAAAGCACATCCACAGGAAGGGATTCCTCTATCAAAGGAAGTATAAAGTGGCCCGATCCAAACCTCTTGATGACATGTTCTGCAAGAAAGACAAGCCTATTTCTATTTTCACCAGATATTAGAACGTCAATATTTTTCGTTACCTTACAGATCGACTTAATGGCTTCTCGTTCAATGTCCATTACCCTTAGACGTATTTCAGAAGAGGCTTTGTAAGCTTGCCATACGTTTAAAACAGCTCCTGTCATCCCAGACGTAGTAGATGCTATGGCCAATGAGCCAGCATAGTCGGCAGTAATGACATCAAGATTCCCTGCGATTCCCAAGCAGTCGCAAAAAACTGCGGAAAATCTTCCAACAGCAGAGAATATCTGGCAATTTTTGCAGTGATTGTCGAGGATCTCTGCCACCTCGTGAAGAACCTTAACAGTCTTTTCTATATTACTATTCATTTCGTTGACGTTTTCTTCCAATTCTTGTACTAATTTCTCCTCCTCCTCACCTGAGATTCAAAAATATTTACCAACCGTTAAATTGATTTCATCACACCGAGCAAAGATGACCTAGTTCAACTACTGTTGATCTTGTACACTTGACACTACATATCGTTAATACGAATGAAAGCGTATCTCAGGGTATCTGTACGTAGTTAACACCCCTGGCGTGACGGGCCGAGTAACGCTAATTTTAACCACTGGAATGTCGCGATTCTTCGCAAAATTGGGGTCGAACTCGAGGTCTTGCGGGCTACTTAAAATCGTTTGCCCAGAGATTTGTTTCGATTTTCTGATAGATTGGGGCCTAGTTAAGCCGTAAAAAGTCAATGTACAAAATTCTAAGTTATAGCACATTGTAAAAATTTGCATTATTTTATCCCTATAATTTAGAACGGTAGAAATTGTCAGTAGGGCCATGAACAGGAAGAAGAACACTTTATTTGGGAAAAGTAACTACAGCATGTTTCATTACTCATTAAGGATTATCGATGAGCCAAAAATGAGCGAAATTCGAATTTTGAACTTGTGCCACAAAAAGTCGATTTTGGTCGATATTTACAGACAGTCGCTCTCAAAAACTCTACCCTCAATTGCTATTCTAATTAATTATCGCCTTTAGCGAATGAAGAAATACTTTTTATAAAAAATATATATTCTTAATTCTGTCTGTAATTGTATTATAATGCAGGGGTCATCCACTAGATTAGGGACGGACCATTAGAAGAGTTATTGGGGGGGAGGGGAATTTTCGAACCGCAGGAATTTTTTTTCGTTATCAAATTCCTTGTATGAATTTTTTTAGGCCATAGCATGAATATTTCTTAGATTAATTGGCGTGCATGAATTTTTTTTCGTTTAATTTTCCCTTGCGCGAATATTTTTTTTGGGCTTCGCCCCCCCCCCCCCCCCTTCTGTTTTGGGGGGGGGGGGGATTTTTGAACCGGAGGGATTTTTTTTTTTTTTCAAATTTCTTTTTTGTATTTTTTTTGGCCCTTTGATGAAATTTTTTTTAGTTTATTGGGGTGGCTTTTTTTTTTTTTGTTTTATTTTCCCCTTGGGGAATTTTTTTTTTGGGTTTTGCCCCCCCCCCCCCCGATAAGTTTTCTAATGGCCCGTCCCTTCGCCTTTGCTATTTGGATGATCCCACTCTCTATTTTGTTGTTACAATTTTTCTTTTATTCTTTCGCTGTTCTGTGTTTAGTTTCCTATGTAAATTCAACCTTCATGTCATGTAAAACTGAGCTGAGTTTAATAAATCATCTTGTCTTGGCTTGTCTTGACCCACTCGCTTGGTTCGTCATCCAGTGAAGCTTCAAATCTAAACACTACTCTTCCTTTTTACGCAAAAGGAAGCTATAAATAGCTCGTACTTTATACGTGTTTAATTTACTTTATCTTCTTACCTCTCAACTCGAACGCAAGATCCTTTCTTCCAACTTGTATAAGACATTGGCGTACGAATTCGACTTGGTTCGGACCTAGTAACATTCTATGTTCGAGCTCAATAAACAGTGCCTCTGGCGATGAAATTCGTTCCATGTCACCTTCAGGAATCGAGTCCTTGCAAAGGAACTTAAAGTGCTCTAAACGGTGACTTTCTATTTGAGAAGCAATTGTACCTAGCTTTAGTCTGAAACGTTGCCGTGAATTCATTGTTCTTGTTAAACTAAATGAAGAGTTGACCGTCGATGTCGAGCAGAACGAAAGTGAAATTGTCAGTTTGTCGGAAATCCCCTTTAGAGCGTCCGCTGGGCACCGGTAACGCGGTCTTTAGGAACGAGACACGAGACTGCTGTAACACAACCTTCTCCCACACGGGAAGGGTCGCAAGTTGACATTTTTGGTGCCTTTAGAAAAAATTGCCGTGATTGCTAGTGCTTATGATTTCAATGTAAACGATGTCATTCGTAAGGAATGTACATGCTAAGTGATATTTCAATCTGATTTCCTCGTCGGATACAAAGCATTTATTTGAGATTCCTTCACAAGAAGAACAGTTCATTGAATCTCCACATGACAAAATCGAGTAACACTAAAGTTGTTGATCATTTTGCTGTAAACTGTCAGCTTCTACTGACGAGCCGTCCAAAAACAGCAATATTAAATGTGCAGAAATTCAAAATCAGTTGATTTCCAATACTTTTGTGATATATCAAAAACTCTGGAATTAAGGAAATATCTACACGTAGCACAACCGTACTGTACATTGAAATTTAAATAAAGTGCTTTTGTTTATTCAATTTCACGAGAGTTAAAACTTTTTCCATTCATGACTTCGGTCACGCCTCTTTCCACCAAGACCTGCCTGCAAGTCGAGCTCAAATTTTTTCACGAGCGCGGGCGCGAAGCGCGAGCGGTAGATTTTTTGTGTTTTCTGCGGTAAAAAAAAGAGCGAGAGCTTCGCGCTGAGGCCAACTACCGGAACCGGAAATGAGAAGCGAAGATACTTTCCACCATGCTTCGATCACGTGTTGTTGTATCGCCAGCGGGGTAAATTTGTCGGGATACATTATTTTGAAGTTAGTCAAGACCACGTGACCAACACTGGGTAACCTTCTTGGAGAGTGTCCGTTAAAAGAGAGTTGAATAAAAAGGGAATAACGGAGCCGGTCAATGTCTTCTTAGTATTTTTATAAATATCTGTACATTCAACTGTAAATATTTGAACATTGAACTCGACAATTAACATGGAAATAAACCCGGGCGCTTTTCCCTGGATTTTCCCGCCCCACCTCCAAAGCCAGGGAAAAACGCCCTGGGGACGAGGTCGGGGCCGGAAACAAGAATGATTAAAGAAGAAAAAACTCACAACTCTAGTGTTTTAATATACGACAAAACTGTTCTATAGGCGAATTTTCGATTTGTTTTGTTTTCTTTTTTGTTTTGTTTTTTCTTTTGTTTTTTCTTTTACCGGAGATGGAAAATTACTGATACATGATAGTTTTGTGACGGTTTAAAAGACTAACCTTAAAGGAATGAAAAATCAACTGTTTTGAAAAATTAAAAAGAAAGAAAGATCGATTAAATAATTAAATGTCTCGTGCCGAGTTTTGCGTGACTTAGCAAAAGTTTGGCATATGATACTTATCTCTTTCTTTCATGTTTTTTAGCTCCTGTCAAATGGTTCGGAGATGTTCAGTCTTAAGAATAAATAACTAAACCCTTTTTGTTTTGTCTTTCTATATCACTCATCACTAAAGTGCCGAGATGTGATCGCTTTAATTCATAATTTCATGGTCAGAATCCACTTAGGCAGGTTAAACTTACGAAATTAAAGGAGGTGAGCTGTGCAATAAGTTGTCATCTTCTTTAATTTTAAGAATGTTATAATTTACAGTATTTTTTGTTGAGCGCATTAGAATAACATAGCTCTATATCTGGGCATAATATTTTACAATAAGCCATAAGCTAAAGTCAAAGAAACGATCAGTCAAAAGAAATGTGATTAAACCATTCGAGAATAACATAGGATGAATGTGTGGAATTGACGCGATTAAAATTCATGATACAGAATTGCTAATTTTTTAAGTTAAGGGTATCAAGATGTGCGGTTTACGGTGTGAGGAAGTTTAAAGATTTTCTGTCGTTGTGGTTGCGGGCAAGAGCTTTTCTAGGTTTTTCTTATCACTACGCCGTTCGTCCATTCTATTTTCGCGCGAATCTGCGCGCACGAGAATTGCTTCTTTTTCTTGCAGCCGACTTGCCCTGGTTCTCCTAGTCGAGCTTGACGAACTTTGGCTTCCTCTGTCTCGTCTAGAAAGCACAGATCGAAAGCCTCTTCTGTAATTCTCATTGAAAATCACGTAAATATAAGGATTAACAGCGGAATTTGCGTGTCCGAGAAAGAGTGTGAGGAAATCCATGTCGTAGGGTAAGCCGCAGGCATAGCGATCAGACTCAGCGAACATCACGAACATTCGCACGTATAACGGCAGCCACGATAAAGCGAACACGATCACCACCGTTACCAGCATTTTCAAGACTTTTCTGTTGGTTTTTTCTTTGTTTTCCTGGTTGGAAGTAAGCTCTTGACCCGGTGCTTTTCTACGCCACAACTTTAACATGATAACCGTGTAAAGAGAAGCGATGACGGTCAGAGGAAGAGCGTAGAGCAAAACAAATAGTGCGATCGTGTAATCGCGTGAAGCGGTTGCCTCGTTGAAAGGCGGTTCCCACTTTTCGTTACAGCGGGCAAAGCCTTTCTCACCAGTGGTCTTCAAAGTGTAAAGCGGAGGACCTGAGACGATAATCGCCGATACCCACGACGCCCCAATGATGAATTTAGCGACCCGAAATGTGATGACGCGTTTCAGTGGTCTGAAAATGGCGAAAAAGCGATCGAACGCGATCGCACAGAGCGTGAAAACAGAGACTGTTATTGAGAGGGATTGCACGAAGCTCAGCAGCTTGCAAAGGACATCACCTATCCATCCTCCGATAGCCCACACATCAAAGCCGCTGAAAATCCAGTACAAAGTTGGTAACATGTTGAACACTGTGGTCAGTAGATCCGCCAGGGCCATGTTAATGATAAGGAAGTTGGTTATCGTTCGCATTCGTCGGTTTTTGTGAACCACACGTACCACCATAATGTTGCCAAACAGCGAAAGGAGGATCACCAAAATGTACGCCACCCCTTTGACTCCCTTGGTATACTTATTAGCAATCGGTTCCGGACAACCAGTGGAATTGGCATTTGCCGAAGTAGGGACGGCGCCAGTGGATGATAAACCTTCGTTAAACATGGGAAGCTAGTTAAAGACCGTATGAAGACGTAGAAAGTAGCGACTTGTGTCGCTTGGCATTAAGCAGAAACGCCGAAGCCGTAAAGTGAGATTTTGCGCTCGATAATTAAATAGCGGCCACTTTTTAAGAGTGCTTAATTTTCCGTCTTATCGAGCTGATTATGTTTTTTGCGACAATTTCAATAGTCGCGTCGTCCGAATAAGAGGTGATTTCCATACTTAAAAAGCAAGCGAAGCAAAACAAGGACCAATAGTGGAAAATAGAAGACTGCAGCTATATATGATCATGGTATGTTTACAAAAGCCCTCTTTTAAAATGCAAATTGACCCTTTGCTGAACGTTGTGATTAAGGTGTAAATTAGGTTAAGGCGCTTTTCTGATCAGTGTAAATTCTGTGACATTCTCGCCAATTCCACAAAATGAATGCGGATATCGGCTTCTATTCGCGGGGCTTTTGTTTCATAGATTTAGATAAACATAATCACAATATAATACAGTTTGTAATCTTTAAAGGATTCTTATTACTTTTTACTTTATATTCACCACCATAAAACCCTCAGTCGTCCAAATCATTAGTAAAAAAGGAAAAAAAACTATTTACATGCACAAGAGTGTAAGATCGAGATTTTGGGATCTTAGGATAAACAAGGTGACTTAGTTCGACGTTTCTTTTTCTAATAGGAAACGAAAATTAAATTGCCTTGCTAGAAAATAATTACAAAAATCATTGATAGTAACTATGAAAAACTGATATAACGAGAACCAAGATATGAGCACAATATTTGACAGATATAATATCGAAAAAAAAATCGGAAGAGTGAGAATGACACGGGTTTGATTATTACTTAATTCGGTATCTTTTAAAAATGGATACAGAGGAGAAAATACCCATCTGTTCTGGCCGCATACACCGCGAAAAACAATTTAAAAACTGAATATCCTGTAATTCCGATACTTTAGTAACCAAGAAACATTATCAAAACTGTTACTCGAGGAAAGAAAGACAATTCCCCTGAGAAACTACGTTTCAACTTAGCAACCGCAAACAAAAAGTCGCAGTTTAATTTACTTTTTTGAGAGGTTAAGCTTGTTATGGCTAGAGAAAGAATCACCGATGGATTTTATGATGAACAACAAAGTCTGTTTGCCCTTGGGGTACTAAACTTTTCAATGTGGTTTCTGGCCCTTGTGAACAGAAAAAAAATAAACCAACATTTTTGTTAAGCTCGATAATAATCAGCGGACATTTCATTGAATGGAAAGACCATGTAAACTGATTCTAGCAGTTGAAAGTTTGCTATTTTCAATTTTTTTTTTTTGCCCAAGAAATCTTTGGTTGTCTAGGCACTAACAATCTATGGAAGATCATAAACAATAAAGTGACTTTCAAAAAGGCTATAGCGCATTTCCCTTTAAAACAGACTTCTATGCTGTCAGGTTTTGCATTTTTAAGTATTTTTGGCGTTTACAATGACGTCCGCGCGTACACTGTACATAACTTTCACCTCTGTTAAATGATATCCACGAATTCTAGCTCAAAGGAGAAATCTCTGCAACATTTTTTTTAATCCAGCTATAAGCCTAATTTGAGAAAGGGAAACAATTAATTACACAAAAAAGGCATTTTCACCCCAAAAAGTATGATGGATTGAAATTTCTCGTTTATTAGGTGTGAATCACAGAAATATCAACCAATTCCAAACCTGAGAAATAAGTGCAAGGAAATTGAAAACACAAGTCTCGTTGATCTTTGAATCAGAAACTGAATACAGCACTAATTAGTTGCACTTGGAAAAAACACGTTTGGTAACAAATATTAAACAATAAATGCTTCAAAGGCTCGACGGCCCTTATTTGATAGACGCCGGAAGGCTAACGGAAACTGTAAAACTTAAGCCATAATAAGGCCTCGTTTGATTACATTTCCGTTCACAAAGATGGCATCATGAAAAAATGAGCTTTGGTGTATGTCAAAAACTAGACAAAACTTTATTTAGTGGTTAATATCTTTGTCGTTGATACGCGGTGATTCTCCAACATCATCTGCGTGGCAGGCGCGCCAGGATGGAAGTCGGGATCACTACTTTGTCGTCGCCCCATGAAAGGGAGTAGGGATTCCGGAATCTGGAAATTTTTCGCTCGTGGAATCAGGAGTCCTGGGTTTTGGAATCCGCGATACAGGCCAAGGAATCCGGAATCCCACCAACGATTGGAATCCAGAACCAAGTTCCATTGACGAAGGCTTAAATCCAGTACCTGGAATCCGGAATACACGGCGTGAAATCCTGAATCCAAGAATGTCCTGGACCGATTGAGTTGTTCAAAGCTGGGTTAAGATAACCCAGGGTTAGTGCGAGATTTGAATTCAGATTTGAAAGCTTAAAAGGCATGTCAGTTTTAATTCTTCTTGTCTACAAGTTGATTATTGAAAGCTCTAAATATAACAGAGAAAATTATTCGAGAAAATGCTTTTGAACACGAGAAACCCGGGTTAAATTTAACCCCGGGTTAAGCGCTAATCAGCCTTCGAACAACTGGCCCCCCCAGGGGCGCTTTCCAATAAGGCAAAATCCCCGGTTGGAAATTTTGGAAACCAGGGTTGGAAACATTTCGGGTCAAATGGAAAGGCTTTCCAGCCATGGAGCCTCGTTTACACTGTTCGTCCGTCACCATCACGTCACTCGCTTGGAGACTGGGCTGGCCATTTTTGAAATTTTTTTGGTGGATCTGCCATTACGACATTCTTGCTTTTGTTTTTACCAGCAAGAAACAAGAAGTTTTACGTGAAATCCTTCTAGCATCGGACTTGTAGATGCCATTCTGAACGATAAGATAAGAAATGAAAAGAAAAACTGCCCGTGGACAACGCTCGCCGGCAAACATTGGAAATGGCTGGAAAAATTTTAGGCGCCAGCCACCGGCCGAAACAGAATTGCGCAAATGGAACGGGAATCTCTGTTCCAACGGGTTGAAACGGAAAAAGTGGAATACCTGGGAAGGTCGTCCGTTTGTTCCGTATAATTTCCGGTCAAACCGCGCGTTCCATTTACATTTAAACCGGTTGAACCGGAAATCCCTTACATGGGGCGATTTCTCGCGTCCCGTAAGTCCGAGAAGGGAAAATATATTTTTGTATGTAGAAGGGTTAAGAGTTGAAGTGATGCCACTTTCTTTAATGAGACGTTACTTAACGAATCAACTAAGCTGAAGGGTAGTAAAGGGAACATATTACCATGTCAGTGCTACGCTTATAGCAACCTCGTCCCCAGGGTTCTTTATCCCTTGGGAACAAGGTTGCACCGGTAGACCGTTTTCACGTTACGTCACGTCCGACACACTGGTGTCCCTAACTACAAATGGGTAGCAAAAATGATGTCCCAAATTTAACAAATAATGAATCATCTTAATATCAAAATCATGATTTAAACTGTTAATTGTTTGAAGGAAATAGCTGAGGCGTAAATTTCAAAGAGGCGCACTCGTCCCGGAGAAACTCGGTTCGCAAATTGACTGCCCTTAAAGTCGCCATTGACTGTCGTACCGATCACGTGACTCGTAGTGAGCCGCAAAGTCACATTACGCATTTAACTGTATTCTAGTAGAGTTGTTTATATGTCGGGGCTAATTAACTAAGCCGGCCAGGTGAGACGAAGCCTCTTAAAAAGTAGAAATAGTTTAGTTTGTAAAGGCCATATTCTTGTCTCGGCAGTAGTTCAGTTATAAACCATATGATAACAAGAATCACTTCGTGAATTTTACCGGGGCCACTTTTGTCTTGGCAACCCACGAGGAAGAATCGTTTACATCAACAAGTTTGTCGGGCGACATGAAAATAGTTTATAGAAAATGTCAGGGAATCCCCCATTTTAAACTGTTGAGAGTTTTCGCTTGTCGCTAACGTAAATATTGCGTGACAAAGGTTATGTGAAACAGTCTTTTTTGGTTTTTCATTACTTAAAGCAGTGATAGACTTGCTTGTAATGAGTCTTAATTATTTGTCGGCCAATATTTGACGAAGTTTCCTGTAGCGAGTGCGAATTGTAAGGTATTGAAACGCACAAACAAAGTTTCGCGCATGCAAGTTTAATAAGTTAAGATTTTTGTTTTGTCGTAGTGTACACAGTTCAACAGCGACTAAGCTTTGTCATCGTTAGGATGAATACTGTAACAATATTTTTCAACAGACAGGGATCTCATTTATTGATAAGTGGTAAATATAGTCGTATTAAACCATTCCGTGTGCAAACTAATCGAATTAATATTTACATGGTTACAGTTGCTGCTCCCTACTTCAAATTTCTGAACTAGCGATATATCTCAGCGAACACTCCCAAAAGTAACGAGCCAGTGATATATCTCAGTCAGCGATATATCCCTAACAATGTAACTTTGAAAACACAGAAACGCGTTGCATTTTATGACCGGTGCCAGCCTTCGGCTAGGCCCCGGTAACAAGACACCATCAGAAAGAAACAAAACGATACTAATGTCGATAGTTCACTATTCAGTTGCCAAATTTTCAAAACTATTCGAAGCAAACTGCGTACGTGGAATGACCTGTCACTTCCATTCGTCTCACTTGGTAGAGTTTAAAACCACAATTTAAAAGGCTAAACCTATGACATTCAGAAATATAAATAATTGTTCTTGCGCGAAAATTCTTAACCTCGCTTTTCCGTGACAAGGATTATTTGATTGAAATCGACTTAACATCCAGGGTCAGTCATTTAATTCGCCTTAAAAAAATGACCGCAAAATAAATTGCACTAGTTTCCACCAGGAGTTCCACTGCATACTTTTACTAAAATTTCATTTTACTTAACAGCGGCGTTTTTTCTGCTTGGGTAATTACACTGTTTGAAGTGGTTATATGGACGCCAATTAACTTTGTGCTTTAAAGAAAACTTAACAATGACGCTTATTTTAAAACAACACAGATAGTGGAATGATTTGGAAATAACTAAAGAACCCGATACAGATAACTTTTCATGATAAAGAG